AATGAATCCGTTTTTTAACTTCCCAACTGTTGTACTCTGTATTGTGTAGACTCCGTGTAGCATGTTCCTCTAATAGACCACAGAGGAACAGAAAGTGTCAGTGAGAGTCAGAGTCGTGTGGTAATGTCAGCTTTATCAGTAAGATGATTCATAAAAACTCCTCTAATAACAGCATGTGCCCGCATATGTGTGTGTTTGTGTAAGTGTGTGTGTACTTATGTGGTTTACGAGGACAAAATTGTATAATGAAATTGTGAATGAAAATGAAATATGAAAATGACATGAAAATGATCTGGTTGTACTGTATTAAGGTAGTGTACGAGGACGTGCCTTGTGTCCTTGTAATTCAAAACGCTTAAATATAATACTTGAAGGGATAGTTTACCCAAAAATTTAAATTGTCATCATTAACTCATAATTCACTTGTCACAAATGGTAATACGCTTCTAACATTTTTCGAGGTCTCCTATTTTGTGTTCAACAGAAAAAAGAGGTTTGATAAATCTTTGAAACCACTTTTTTTTGGTGAACTATTCATTAACAGGGTCTTTTGATATTCAGAATTTGCCACAGGTGTCCTCTGAGGCTTGTATTTGGGTTATATCAGGGGCAGATTTAACCAATAAGCAATGTAAGCAACTTCTTAGGGCCCCAAAAAAAATGTGGGGGCTCCCAATAAATACCTTTTTAAGTTTCTATAAATTATTTATATAACATAGCAATCAAATCAGATGAAGATTTAAGCTGCATCCTAAATCGCATACTTATGCACTATTCTACGCCATTTTGTAGTATAAATAGCGTAAGTAGTGTGTTCACACTGAAAACTCTAAAAAATAATAAGTGCACTTTAATTACCCGGATGATGCACTCATTTAGCCGCTAAAGTGAAGTGTGGAATAATGGACACTTCACGGACTCAATGACCGCAGGTTTGACCATGTAGCGGAAGGGGCGGAGCTATCGGGCGCACATGTTGGATAACTTTATTCTATATGGTGAAAGCAAAATTCTCATACGAGAGTGATTATAGCGCCTCCCAATGGTGAATGCAGTTACACTCACGGCAGGTATTATTTGATAATTCGGTCGTTTATTTCCCTGATTTGTCAACCGTCAAATGTCATTAGGGAAACGGTTTTAATTTCCGCTTAGTAAAAAACCATTGCATTATGATAAAGACGTAGAAAAGAAAACCTTATGATATAAGATAAAGACAAAATACAATAAATAAAAATCAAAAAGTTGCATATTAGAACTGCTGGGTCAAAACTCAAAATCACTAAATTTGCCCATGGGTCATATAGTGTTTTTTACAATATAGACTGCATTATGCCAGAGCGTCCTCATAAACCATATTTACAATCATGCGTGTCTGTTTTTGTGTGATCAGACCTCATTGTAATTTTTATTCTGATCTTGAAGGCTGTTCTGCTCCATAATGACATTCCAGACCTACAGAAAAACACAAAAGGCACAAAGTCAATCAAACTGCTGACATTCACAACATCTTCACTTACAGATGGCTTTGTTTAATAGCGTATATGCGGTTGTATGCTAAAGCAGCGGTTCCCAACAGGGACCCACTAGGGGTTCCTCAGCGAGCTTTCTAGGGGGTCGCGTCATAATCTAAAAAAATCTTTAGCAGTGGACAATTAGGAGAACGATCATGTTGCCTTAGTTCATTTTATCGCCAAGCTCAGTGGTCCTCAACCACCGGTCCATAGATAAATTGGTAGCGGGCCGCACAATAAATCATTAATTATTTCCGTTTTATTTATTATCCGAGTCTGAAGGATCTTTTATTTTGAAAAATCTTTTATTTTGAAAAAATGACCATATTCTTTCTCTTGCATCTTTGTCACTTGAGCACCCAAATTTAACCCACAACCAGCAAAATAAGTAAGAAACAGACGTCTTTACAAAGTTTCTTTACAAAGGGAAAAAGGCCCAGTGAAAAGGTTAAAGGATTAAAAGGTTAAGGACCACTGCCCTAGCTGACCAAAAATGGACAAATTTGTAATCCGTCCACCACTAAAAAAGAGTCTCACTGATTCGCCTCACAGCAATCCACACACTTATTGATAGAGCATAACAAATAACATGCAAGTAATGAATAGTAATAGCCTATATTATTTTTTTCCCAACACCAGTGTGAATACTGATATATTTGTTATTGAATGTCAAATAGGGTCAATTTAAAGGCCAAAGGCTTACGTTTTTCAGTTACAAATGGCCCACTGATGTTTTGCTTTTATTTAACATTAGGCTATTTTCCTTAATTCATTCATTCAATTTCTTTTTTGCTTAGACCCTTTAATAATGCGGAGTCGCCACAGCGGAATGAACCTCCAACTTACCCAGCACATGTTTTACGCAGCGGATGCCCTTTCAGCTGCAATCCATCTCTGGGAAACATTAGGCTATGATTTGTGCATAAACATATCTAGATAAAGTAATAAACATACCGTTTGTTTGAAAATAATTTTTTTGTAATCATTACTGCAAACTTATGAGCGATTATATCATTAAATGTGCCCCCCTCTTATATTATTTTCTGCGGAAAAAGGGGGTCAAAAAAAGTTAGGAACCACTGTGCAAAAGGACTTTTAATTTGTCAGTAACCTGGTTTAAGCATTTCTGGTAAAATGCATACCATTACAAAATCGGCTCGATTAAGGTCTTTTTTTTTTTTTCTGTAAAAATCAGCGACATCCACTGGCTGAGTGATATCCGATATAAAGTGGGTCTCAGATTGTACAAGAAGCACTGCATTAAATTACATTTTTCCCCACCATGTATTTAAAATAAGAACATTTATTTTACCCCAGTATATTCAATGGAGCTTCTGCGCTAGCCTGCTGATTCTGACATACGTGTGCGAGTAACTGCTTTTTTTCTCGTTTTACGCTTAAACTAAATGAATGCCAAAGTCTATTTAACTGATTATATTACAACATCGATGCTGTAAAAGGAATTGTATAAAATGGAAAAAAAGTCACATTAACCGTCCACCGGAAGTTTATCAGTATGGGAAGGAACACTACCTCCGCATATACTCTATTGGAGCTTTTCAGAAAAAATCCTGATGTGTTCAAACAAAGCTTGAGGTCATGTGTGTTTACTGCATTTGCTTTTATTTAGGAAAAGTCTTTTGAAGAAATCCTGAGCTCTATATCTATCTCTAGTATGATTTACTATCAGAAATAAAATTAAAAAATGGTCTAGTTCCCTTTTTTAGAGTGTATGTAAACTTCTGGTTTCAACTGTATATGTGTGGTGTAATCGGTCCATGAGCAGCATCAGCTGTGTGAGTGTAATCAATGTAGACTTGTAGGAGCAGGTGTGTGTGTTGCATGACTGGATCTTGTAGTCCATATGCTAGCAGATTTGAAGTTCGCCAGCGATCTGCATTGGCTAGATTGTTTGTGACTGATGATATAATAACTATTTCTAATACCATTTAGTAATAATAATGTTCAGTAGTGTGTTTCTCATTTATAAATGTGGCATATGCACACAATGGAGGTGAAAACGTTTATACATTAAAAATTCCGAAGCAAAAATTTGTAGTCTAAAAAAAACAAACTTGATGGGAAAATGTGCGCAAGTAAACTCCAAGTAAACTTATTTAACTTTAATATTACTTAAATGACTTAACTGAACCACTTTAAAGCATATAAGCCTTAATCATTGATAGCATGAAAAATACTATGTAAATATATGGCTACTGGAACATTTTTCACAATATCTTCTTTGTGTTTAACAGAAAAAATGTAAACAGGTTTCCATATTTTTTCTATCCCTTTAAACATCATAATACAAATGCATTTGTTTAAAGGGCACCTATGATGAAAATCATTTTGTGAGCTTTTGTGAGCTGTGTGGTCTGTATGAACAGTATATTGCAGGGGTGTCCACACTCAATCCTGGAGGGCCGGTGTCCTGGAGAGTTTAGCTCCAACCCTAATCAAACACACCTGAACCAGCTAATCAAGCTCTAACTACATATACTAGAATCTTCCGGGCAGGTGTATTGAAGCAAGTTGGAGCTAAACTCAGCAGGACAGCTGCCCTCCAGGACCGAGTTTAGACACCCCTGGTATAGTGTGTCCACTGTCGTATTGGAGTGATATAAACCCAGCAAGTCTCATTTTTAAAATTTGCTGACAATAAAATAGGACTCAAATCCCAGAGATTTTGGAGGCTCACTGCCACGTGACGTAGGAGTGCGGTTTTTCCCGCTCACCGAGTTGATTGACAGGTGTCATGTTTCTTTAATAACATGTACATAGTACATGTCCACAGAACATTTTTGCAAAGAAACTAGGATTAAAAAAATTGTTAGTGTTCCCCTCATCCATCTATGTAGAAAGGGATGTAAAAAGATAATCTTCATAATTTAAAAAAAATGTTTGCATACTGACCAACGGGAAACTCCCAATCATAGATATATTCATATATGTGTATATATCTCTGGCTCTGGATGGCCAGTCCTACACTGCACCTTGGTCTCACATTCATTTCATAGGAGTGCTACCCTGTACTAAAATGGCAGTTCTGTTGACACATTCCTTCCAAAAGACAACAATAGCTAGGCAACATCTAATGTAAATATTTATGGTGAAAACAAGTGAAGGGTAATTATAAACTAATTTCGAGAGGATCACATGCTTATGATTGCTTGCAGCCGGTCCCGCAACATTCAGTTTATTATTCACAAATCAGATAATTTCTAAGCCAGTATAAATACCCTAAGTTTCATATAACAGCCATCTTCGTTTTGAAGAATCCCCCCTTCCACCACTACTCCTCCTCCTTTCCTAGATGGGTGACACCATGGCCCAGTGGTTAGCACTGTTGCCTCACAGCAAGAACGTCACTGGTTCTAGTCCTTACCAAGCCAGCCAACAGTTCCTCCCACCGTCCAAAAACATGCAACTTAAGTTAATTGACTAATCCAAATCGGCACCATAGACATGCTCCTAGTAAGTAGTTATCTCTTAAGAGCAATCACTATGTAGATGCCCTTTGGTTTCCATGAACGAGACAGAGAGTTTCTGACGGGTGCTTGATTCTTTATTTTGCTCAAGCCGAGAGCCATTAAACTTTCGTTGCGTAGCACCGTGAAACTACACAAAGAAACAACAAAAATCAATAAAAACAACTTGTATACAGAATAATACGACAAATAAAGATATAATGTACAGAGCGACATATGAAAGTGAAACAATGAAGTATATAACGACAGTTTGAAACAACTAATAAGAAGGCAGAGCTCACGATTAACATATACATACAAATGAACTCATGTGGCTTAAATATTAACTTCACATACCTCGCTCCGCTTTCCCAAAGGGTTCTATTAAATAAATTGTGCAGGATTAAGCCTCCCTTTTTCCTTAAATCGCACAGCAACGTGTCTTCTCTTCGCTCCTGCTAGCCTGATTAACCTATTAGTCACCTAGGCTACCGAAACACGTGACATGCTCTGATGCTCTAAAATTATTTAAAGGCATATAATGATTTAGTGGTCACTTACACTCCCACCAATCATTTTATGATGAATTGAAAGAACAAACTGAAATTAATCAGAACATGATTTTGAACTATAACATGACCACGTTTACTTTTCATGACTATCAAGTATTTCAGAAATAATTATTTGGTCTGATGAGAGTGTATCATCCCAGTTACTAACAGTCAGTCTTCTTCAAGAAGTACAACTAATTTCTGAATCGGTCTTTCAATGATTGAGAGCTTGGGGGTCTGATTACGTTTGTTAGTGAGCTTTCGTTCTGCTACTCGTACCTTTACTCGTCTCACAAATCCATCACTCTCTTTGACAGTTTCAACCACTCTGCCCAACTGCCATTGACTTCTTGGGAGCATATCCTCTTTGATTATTACAACATCATTTACTCTGAGGTTTCTGCGAGGAGTGTGCCACTTTTGGCGTGTTGAAATGTTAAGCAAGTATTCCTTCTTCCAGCGACTCCAAAATTGCTCAACCAAGTATTGGACTCTTCGCCATCTTTTTGTAGCGTACATGTCTTCTTTAACAAATTTTCCTGGAGGTGGAAGTGCAACATCAGACTTCATAAGTATTAGGTGGTTTGGAGTTAGAGGCTCTAGTGAATTTGGATCATTAATTCCATCTACTGTAAGCGGGCGACTGTTAACTATGGCCATTGCCTCATAGAACAATGTTCTAAGTGAAGCATCGTCAAGTCTACCAGGACACAGTGCAATTGTGGCATTAAGTACACTGCGCACAGTTCGTATTTGTCGTTCCCAGACACCTCCAGTGTGACTTGCAGAAGGAGCATTAAAGGCAAACTCACATTGTTTCTCTGCGAGAAAGACTTCCAGAGTTTTGATGTCGACTTGTTTCAGGCAATCTTTGAATTCGTTCCTGGCCCCGACAAAGTTTGTACCTTGATCACAATAAAGTTTGCAAACTGCTCCTCTGAGGCTTATAAAGCATCTCAATGCATTGATGAAGGCATCTGTGGACAAATCTTCAATCATTTCAATATGAACTGCGCGAGATGACAAACAAGTGAATATTAGACCGTATCGCTTGTATTCTTTGCGAGCTCTCTTCACGACAAATGGCCCAAAACAGTCCATGCCACAAAATGTAAAGGGAGCAGATACTTCGACACGCTCCTTGGGAAGTTCGGCCATTCGTTGTTCTTCTGTCGGTCGTCTAAGTCTTCGACACTGCACACACTTGTGTATCAGCTTAGCAACTGATTTGCTACCTCCAATGACCCAGAATCCATTCATTCTAAGCTGCATTTGAGTTTGAGTTCGACCCTGATGGCAAATTTTGGCATGATAATGCGACAGAATTAGCTTGGTGATGTAACTATCCCTTGGTAGAATCACAGGATGTTTGAGGTCTTGACTGAGTGATGACTTCTTCAATCTTCCCCCTACCCGAAGAAGACCTTTGTCCAAAACAGGATCCAGTTGATACAACGCACTAGAATTTGGAAGAGCATTCCCATTTTCAATCATTCTCATTTCTTTGGAAAATGCTTCCTGCTGCATGAGCTTGATCACCACTTCAGCAGCTCTCTGACGCTCCTCAACAGTTATATGGTCAGTGGAGCATTTCTGTTTCAATCCAAGTCTTTTTATCCTTGCCACAACCTTCAGAAGCATTGACCAGCAAGAAAATCGTCTGAAACGACTTAAAATGTCGGAACTGTCACTAACTGTGGTCACAAATGTTTGGACTGGTTTAACTTCGGGGTCACCAACAAGCAAATTGGCAGAGGTATGTGGTGTTGGATTCACTTCTTGTTCCCACAGAAATTTGGGACCTCTTAACCAGGTTGAAGTAGCAATGTCAGAGGCATGAAACCCTCTGGAAGCATGATCAGCCGGGTTCTCTAAGGTATTAACATAGTACCACAGGCTTGGATCTGTAATGTCCCTTATGAGTTGCACACGGTTAGCAACGAATACATGAAACCGTCTTGCTTCGTTATTAATATAAGCCAAAACAACCTGTGAATCTGTCCAAAAGAATTCTCTGTCAATCTTCATTTCAAGCTCTGTCTTTAGCATGACACTTATCTTTGCAGATAGAACAGCCGCCGCAAGTTCTAGTCTTGGTATACTTGTGACTTTTGTAGGTGCGACTCTAGCCTTTGCCATTACCAAACTGCAGTGCACTTTACCTTTGTCATTTTTGAAACGAAGATAAGAGCAAGCTCCATATCCAATGTTGCTCGCATCGGAGAAGTGGTGCAGCTCCGTTTCAATGATCTCATTGAAGGTGTCAGGGTGATAACATCTTGGTATGACAACTTCTTTAAGCCTTTGAAGTCCACCTTTCCAATCCTCCCACCGTGAATACATGTCTTCTGGTAGCTGATCATCCCATCCAATGTTTTTCCGACATAGTTCCTGCAGGATGCACTTTCCCTGAAGAATAAATGGTGCCACAAACCCAATTGGGTCGAACAGGGAACTAATGACAGACAAGATTCCACGGCGGGTCGATGGCTGATCTTTATAGTTGATGTTGAATTGAAAATTGTCATCCCTTGTTGACCACTGAACACCAAGTACACGTCCTGTTGGTGTTGCTTCAGGGTTTAAATTGAGAGGTTTAGAGACAATATCCCTTTCAGATGGGTCTATGCAGCAGAGAACATCTTCCTTATTGGAGTTGAATTTATGAAGCCGTAAACCTCCTTGTTTACAGAGTGCTTGAGCATCAGCAATTAGTTCCTTGGCTTCATCAATTGAACGAACACTGGCTAGCCCATCGTCTACATAGAAGTTTCTTTTAACAAACTCTGAAGCTGTTGGGTGTTTAACTTCGTACTGCTGTGCCAGGTACTTCAAACCGAAATTGGCACACCCAGGAGACGATGTAGCGCCAAAGAGATGGACTGTCATGCGATAGTCTTGAGGCTCTTTCTCCCAGTCTCCATCCTCCCACCACAAGAACCTCAGATAATTACGTTCGTCTGGAGGAACAAGGAACTGGTGAAACATCTTTTCTATATCACAGGTGACTGCGACTAGCTCCTTTCTGAAGCGGCAGAGTACTCCAACTAATGAATTTATTAGATCAGGCCCAGTCAACAGAGTGTCGTTTAGAGATATACCACTAAACTTAGCTGAACAGTCGAACACAACCCTCAGCTTACCTGGTTTCTGAGGGTGGTATACTCCGTGGTGTGGAATATACCATACAGTCTCTCCTTCTGATATCTCAGGGGCTAGTTCAGCATCACCTTTGTCAACGACTTCCTTCATGAAGACTTTGTAGTCATCCGAATATTGCTTGTTAGATTTGAGCTTTTTCTTTAATTGCTGCAGCCGGGCAACTGCCAGCCTTCTATTATTTGGCAGTGATGGTTGGCTGATACTCTTGAAAGGGAGGGGAAGTTCATAATGTCCATTATCCTTCTGTTTGATGTTGGTACTGAGATGTTGAATGAAACGAACATCCTCTTGAGACACACTTTTATCCTCATAACCTTTCTCATTGAAATCTGACTCAAGAATTTTCAAGACATCATTGGGTGATGGAACAAATATCTCCTTGACTGCAACTCTGTGGACAAAACTCTGATTTCCCTGCCTGTCTAGGTGTGGATTAGAGAGACCTATAATGCTCCAACCAAGTTCAGTTCTTTGTGCGAATGGTTCATTTTCATGACCAATTATGACTTCAAGGGGAGCTAGAGCTGAAGGGCAGTCATATCCGATTAATAATCCGACTTCGCAGTTCTGCAGTGGTGGCAATTGATTGGCCAGATGTTTTAGGTGAGGCCACTCCAGTGCTGTGCTCTTCGTTGGGATATAGGACTTATCAACAGGAATGAAGTCTCTTGTATATGCTTGCCGTAACTGAATGGAGTTTGCTGCTTGGAGTCCTCTAACTTGCAGACCGCAAACCCTGTTACTTGCCGTTATAGTATCCACAGCTGTCATAGTGCTTAATCTAAGTTGAACTGGTTGCTTGACTGCATTTAGATCATCAAGAAGATCTTCCAAAATGAATGTTGAGTCACTCTGCGTGTCCAGTAGCGCATAAGTGAGTACTTCCCTTTGAGGCTCTTCCACTGTTGAAATAAGGACTGGCACAATACTGGAAGTAGCAGAAGAGCTTTGTGTGAGTGCATGGGCCATAACTTTCTGAACTTCCTGACTTGCTTGTACTTCTGTTGAAGTTTTATTTAATGGTTTTGGAGACACCATATGTCTTTCTTCATGTAAGCATGTGGGGTGATTGCGGCCACATGTTCCACACTTATGTCGTCTTCTGCATTTTTTTACAATGTGCCCTTTCCTGAGACACCCATAACAGAGCTGATTTTCTTGAATGAAGTTCTTCTTGTCTTCAATGGTTTTTTCTCCAAATGCAGAACATTGGACAATGCTGTGGTTTTCATCTTTACAGACAATGCATGATACTTTTGACTTTACGCTAGATGTATTAAGCCCTTTAGAACTGAACTCTTTCACGTCAGTCTTTGTACTGAGTGCCTTAGCTCGCTTGGGGAACTTTTCATCTGAATTTTTCATATTCATGAATGGGGAAGTAATGGGGTTACAAGCTATTCTAGTTTCCTTTTGCAAGAACTCTGTAAAACACTTGAAACTTGGATAGTCCCCTGATGCATCTAATTCTTCCGTCACAATTCGATTCCATTTGTGTACAACCCATTCAGGAAGTTTCTTTAGTAGCTTGTAGTTTTCTTCACAGTCATTTAGAATAGATAATCCCTTAATGTGTGGCATTGCCTCAGCACATCCTTGCAGGAAATCTGTGAAGTCTCGCAGTGCAAGTGGGTCATTTATTCCAATTTTGGGCCACCTCATCAGCTTGTCTCTAAAGGCTTTTTGTAGTATGAATGAATTCCCATATCTATCTTGCAGGACCTTCCATGCTCCATGGTATGCATCCTCTGAATTTCTATAGAAATATCCCTCCACAGCCTTACGAGCTTTTCCAACAAGGTACTTTTTAAGATAGAACATCTTCTCACCAGGTGGGAGGGGCTTTCTTTCTATAAGAGCTATGAAGGACATCTTCCAATCTATGAATTTCAATGGATCACCAGCGAAGATCATGGGTTCAGGCACAGGCAGTCGATGTGTGCTTAGTGAGTCTGCTATTGCTTGAGCTAAAGAAACATTATTCTGAGATGGCTGGGCTTCATGCTCTGCCTTGAATGTTTGCTGAGGCAAGAACAATTCAGCTTCTGGGTTTAACTGAAATCTGTGAATGCTAGAATCTATTTCTTTATCACCAAATTGACTGATCCCTTCAAGATCATTGTACACTTTCACACGAGCTGCTGCTACTTTTACTTCCTTGTCTACTTGCAACTGATGCAGCCGTTTTCTTTCTTCTTCAAGCTTTAGCTGCATTTCTACCTCTCTTTGCTTTATTTCTGCTAGCATTTTAGCTTCAGAAAGCTTCCATTCACTCTCCATTTTATTAAGCTTTGCTTGTTGATCATGGATTTCCTGCATAGCTTTAGCTTGCTCTTGTTTTGCTGCAAGTTCAGCTTCTGCTTCAGCTCGCTTACTTGATATCTTGGAAGAGGTCTTCGACTGATTACCTGATCCTAGCGATGACTCTGACATCACTGTGTTTGTTTTTGTGCATCCAAAGATTGATCCATATTCATCTTTATTTAAGACTTGTCTCACTCTTTCCTTCACAAGCTCTTCATTGTAATCTTCACCTATTGTCTCCAGCCGCTTACTCACAAGATCAATAATTTCAGCAGTCAGTGCAGCACAAGCATCCATACGATTGACAATGTCTGGAGATGTAGCATGGTTACGCAATATTGGCTCATAATGCTGATGGACTAGATTACATTGATTTTGAATGTCTTGCTGAATTTGTTCTAGATTCTCACGTGAACAGAACATTTTTAGTGTTGATCTACAATCTTTTGCAGTCTCTTTCCAACTGTTATAAGCTTTATGGAAAGCTTTCTCTTGTCGCTTGGCTTCCTGTTCACGCATTTCCAGACCCCTTTCTGTGAAGCTTCTTTCACGTGTGCTTGATCTGACCTGCTGCACAACTGGGTTGCTTATTTCTACTGTTGGGAGTGACATTTCATCTGCTTGTTTGACTGCATGCGCTTCTTCATGGGTACTATGTGTATCTTCCATAGCCTCTTCAGCGTGTACAGCTTCCATAATTAAAGAGGAACTTAAGCAGTGAATAATAACACTCTCACCAGACCTCTAGCACGTAAGCACCCAAATAAATTAGCAAACAAGATCAATATAAATGCAAACAGCAGTATATGACATCCAAAATATTAGCTTGTAACAGGAATAACAAGGAAATGTCAGTTTTCAAATAAGTACAGCTAACATTAACACTGATTGTAATTTTTCTAATGCTAAATAAAATAAATTAAGTTCTTTTTTTTTTCCTTCTCTTAAATTCTACTCAAATAATGTAATTCAAATCTTAAACTATGAAGTAAATGTTCTTTATAACATTATTTATTTGCTTTTATTTAAAGTCCTTTGTAAATTTAACCTTTTAACTCAAATGTCCATAAAATATTTGCTTTTCCTTTAAAGCATTAAAATTACTAAGTTCAAGATGACTTGATGCTGCTTACGTAGGAATATGTTGTTCTTAAACTCTCTTGCCACTCAAAGTCTCCCACTGTATCTGCAACAGTGAATGACAGCACGCGCGCCACCTCCGACTAGTATGGGTAACTGCAGCCTCCGATCAGCCTGTGCGATGACGTCACGACCCTGCCAGCTGCCAGCCTCGTCTCGATGAAACAGATGCGTGGTTCCTTTAAGCGTCGAGTTTCACTGTAGATGCCCTTTGGTTTCCATGAACGAGACAGAGAGTTTCTGACGGGTGCTTGATTCTTTATTTTGCTCAAGCCGAGAGCCATTAAACTTTCGTTGCGTAGCACCGTGAAACTACACAAAGAAACAACAAAAATCAATAAAAACAACTTGTATACAGAATAATACGACAAATAAAGATATAATGTACAGAGCGACATATGAAAGTGAAACAATGAAGTATATAACGACAGTTTGAAACAACTAATAAGAAGGCAGAGCTCACGATTAACATATACATACAAATGAACTCATGTGGCTTAAATATTAACTTCACATACCTCGCTCCGCTTTCCCAAAGGGTTCTATTAAATAAATTGTGCAGGATTAAGCCTCCCTTTTTCCTTAAATCGCACAGCAACGTGTCTTCTCTTCGCTCCTGCTAGCCTGATTAACCTATTAGTCACCTAGGCTACCGAAACACGTGACATGCTCTGATGCTCTAAAATTATTTAAAGGCATATAATGATTTAGTGGTCACTTACACACTATCTGTACATTAGCTACTACAGCAGGGAAGTTCTCGAGATCTACCTGAGCTCAAACTCCAGTCTCGCCTTGCATGGAGCCCCGGGCTCGAGGATCTTATGAGCTCAGAGCTCTCTCCCAGGACTGCATACCAAACAAGCTTTATAATCAATCATCAGCTAAGTGTGTGAACTCTTGAAGTACATGAAATAAACTTACATGGTATTTTGGGTTAATGAGCTGTATTTTAGCTTCATCTGTGTCTGTTTCTATATCTAGCGGCTGTTTATGTGACGTAATGCATGATGAGAAGCAGACACGCTCATGTGAATGGCAGGCGGGAAGAAGCAGCTCATTTGCATTTAAAGCCACAGGCTACAAAAACAGCTACAATGTATTCAGACACCAAAATGGGCAGATTCCGGGATGAATAATCTGATAGGTGTCTTGAGCTGAAACTTTACAGACACATTTTGGAGACACTAAAGTCTAATCTAACATCTTGTAAAGGGGTTAAAGAAATGCCTTTTTAAAAAGAAGTACTCTGTCATATTATTAACTAGTATTTTACCTTTTCTTTTTTACAATGCATGATTTATCCTCCACTTCTTCCAAACCTGTTTCAGTTTCTTCTCTTTATCATGAAGCGAGATATACTGAAGAATTTTGGGGAGGGAAAAAAACTTTTTAAATTATTATTTTTTTAACAGGGTACTGTAAAAACTTTGGTAACACTTTACAATAAGGTCCATTAGTTAATGCATTTACTAACATGAACTAATCATGAACAACACATGTACAGCATTTATTAATATTAATTAAACATTTACTAATGCATTATTAGCATCCAAGTCCGTGCTTGTGAACATTAGTTAATGCACTGTGAGTTAACATGAACTAACCATGAACTACTGTATTTTCATTAACTAACGTTTACTAACATGAATAAATACTGTAGTAAATGTAATGTTCATTGTTTGTTCATGTTAGTAAATGCATTAATTAACATTAACTAATAAACCTTATTGTAAAGTGTGACCAAAACTTTTGTAGATGTCAATAGCTGCTTTTTAGCAAACTTCTTCACGATATCTTGTTTTGTTTAAAGAAAGAAATCCATAAATGTTTCAAAGCACAAGATATTTTCATTTTTGTGCGATCTGTCCCTTTAAATGGGTAAATCACAGTTGCATTCACGAAAACTCTTCTTGCCAGTTGGAGCAATCTTATCTCAGTTTTTTATCTGAAACACCCATGCTGATAATACTCAGGAAAATTCTTTTAAAATTCTTAGGTACGAAACGTGTGGGTCATAATCAGCATTAAGGAAGGAGAGATCAAAATGTGTGCAGTGAAGCGTGTAGTTTTGGAGTTCTGGAGAAATCACAGGGTTTTTTTTTCATACTGAAAGCAGATCACTCAAGGCAAGCCATTTAGATGTTTAATCCTTCACAGTATAGGAGTTCTAATCAACTACTTAATCTTCATCGATTAAAATGTAAATGCTTGATATACACTAGGCATGGGCCAGTTTTAGTTTCTGATTGTATGATAACCTTCGATAAAAATATCAAGGTATTGTGATTACTGCTCTAAAATAAGTTCTTTTTGAATTTCTGGATAAAAACACAACTTTTTTCCCCATTGAACACAATATACTAATAATATACTAAACAAACTAATAAACTAAATTGGCCATTGTGTGTGTGTGTGTGTGTGTGTTGTGCTGTGGTGACCCCTGATGAATAAAGGGACTAAGCAGAAGGAAAATTAATGAATGAATGTTTGCACCTTGATGCAGTTTTTTTTTGTCTAAATTACCATTAATTAGATCAGACATAAAACACATTTTAACTGGTTAATTATTTTAATACCATTTGATAAATAAATTATTTAAAAACATAGCTAATAAAAAGGGAAATGTTATATCATGAGAAATATTGCTATCGCAATACTCTGACAACATCACATATTTTTACAGTATCATGCAGCCTTAATTTTCACAAATAATTGATATTAAAATTAACGTTTTTATAGAACCAGTTCAATTGTTGAGATGAAGTGTAAACAATTGTACAACTAATCACACTAAATACTTATTAAAAAAGGTTTTTAATAGCAAGAACTATCTCTGAACTAGTAAGAACTGAATTATAATGGCTGTTTAGGGCGACATTTACTGTAACTAGCAAAAGTACAATTCTCAATATCAAAAATGATACTCTTTGCTACCTGAAATTGTATTCCTGATGCCAAGAAATGCATGACATTATTAATATTATCAAGAATTAACTTTTTACCTGCCTTTATTACTAGTAGAAATCCTATTTTCTCATAAAGAATTCCAGTCTTATATATTGAACCGTAATTGTTTATAGCGGTAAATCATATCCTTGTAATGAATACGTCAAAACAGCTTGCCATAGATTCATATCTCGTGTCTATCTGATACCTGATCGGTTTAAAATAAAAAAGTGGGACAATCCTGGTGTCAGATTTGCGAAACCGGATAAGCATGTTTCAAAGCACACACACTGCATGAATGCATCTCTAATCCGTGGAAACAGACGTTATCAGCGCCAGTCTTCAGGGCACACGTTTACTTCCGCACTGTATGCCTTGACATGTCCCAACAAATCCAGTTTTATTTTAAACTCCAGACAAACCTACTGACCCACTTTCGCTAAACACACATAAACAACAAATGGCTTTTCCTGCAACATTCTGTGCCTACGAGGCATAATAAAGGATAATTAGCTGAATGAGTGCGTTGGCGTATGAGTGAGCTTGTTTATGCACATGTATATGTGCATCTGCTTTATGGCACTTCTAAAGGCAAAAGTAGGTCCAACCCGGTACTAGTAAGGTGTACTTAATAAAGTGGCCAGCGAGTGAGTTTGAGTGTGTGTGCGTGTGTGTTTGTGTGTGTGTGTGTGTGTGTGTGTACAAAAACCTAGATGTATAGATAGGGTATATCACTGTTTGGGTGTTCTAGATAAACGTCAGGCGGTTACTAGATAGACCACTAGATAGGCTTGTTTGAAAACAACACTTTTCAACAGACTTTGAGATTATTTATGATCATCCACTACAGGAGAAGCCGAGAATATAGAGTTAGTACAAGAGGTCTGCATTAAACTGTCTACATGAGTACAGTAGTGATGCTAAGTACTGTAATCAAACTAAAAAAATCATATACTGTAATAGTTCACACTACAAAGGGCACATATCAGTCTCCTTCAAGTAATAAAAAACAAACAAGTCAGTTCCTGCACGCATAGATGGAGAAAAACAGGTCTGCAGAAGCAGAAAAATACAACGAAAGAGAGGTTTTGGGGAGGGGAAGGAGAGGGCGGACCTGTACTAATTTCCTTTCATTCATATGAAGAAAAACGCAAAGGAAAAATGATATCCTACCGCCTGCAATAGTGCCACTCTTCACACACACACCCTCCCACACTGACGCACACACATTTGTACAGATATCTTTATGGGGACTTCCCTTCAACATAATGATTTTAATGCATGTACAAGCTGTATATTCTCACCCTCTACCCCGACACTACCCTCATAAACCATAAACCCTCATGAACCAACCCTAACAGGAAACAATCTGCATTTTTACATTTTCAAAATATTATTCTGTGTGATTTATGAGTTGTTTTTCTCATGGGGACCAAAAAAATGTCCCCATTAGACATGGGCCGGTTAGTTTCTAACGGTATGATAGCCGTGGATAATAATATCACGGTTTCACAGCATCACAGTATTGTGATTACTGCTGTAAAACAAGTTCTTTAAATGTCTGGGTAAAAAATAAAAATAAAAAATTCCCCCCCACTGAACAAAATATATTTTATTTTAGGAAACATTTATAATATTTTGGAATAGTAAACATGTGAGGCTAAATGATCACAAGAAATCCTTGACTTCATTATTGTCAAAAGCAAAGATTTCTTTACAACACATTAAAAAACCCTTACAAATACCCAAGGAACAGGAAATTTTAGCGGTTTTAAAACCCTGACTTTTCCAAACCACTGTAAACCTTGAAACCAGTTATTGTACCATGCCTAGTCGCCACAAGATCACTATTTACCAATATTGCTATACTTGTTGAAACAACTGGTCCCCACAATGTGAGGAATACAAAAGGCACACACACACACTCTCAGACTCGCAATTGAGTGCCTAACCCAAACCTCATCCTTAACCCAAATCTAACCCTTACCCTAAAACCAACTTTTAACCCCTTAAACAGCCATTTAAAGGTGAGCCAGAAAAACGAAAAGCAGCCAAAATATCCACAATGTATTCTTTTAGTATACTGAAAAAAATTTTGTCTGCAAAATTGTTGCAAACATTTTATGTGTTGAATTTAAACAAACTAATTAAATTTAGTAATGTTCAACTTAATTTGTTTGTTTGAATTCAACACATATAAATTGTTACATATATGCATACACACATACACACACACACACACACACACACACACACATACACACTAGGCAGACCCCCTAGTGTTTCATGATTATATATAATCTTTTTGTGTGTAAATTGCTTATTTATTTATTATTATTATTTATTTATTTATTTTATTTTATTTTTTTGCGCTTAAAATTTAAAAAAAAATTGTGGTAATTCCCAGACATTTGCGGAAAATTTTGTAATTTAAAAAAATATATGTTAGATGTGCAATCTTCTTGACACAAATGATAAAAATAAAGCTTCTTTATTTTGGTCTCTTGTCAAGAAAATCTAAAACAGGGATCTGTTCTTCGTACCTTGCTTAAATGATGATTTGACAGATCCTGGACCTGGATCTTTTAATCTTGATAACTGATCTCTGGCTAATTTGGTTCATCAAACAAGTTTGCAAATCAGATTAAAATGTCTGGATGAACTGATCTAAGATCGCTGCATGTGTTGTGAAGGACAGATATATCCATCCTTAAAATCCGGATCAGCAATGCAACGATTGGCTGACGGCACAGAAGCTTAATGACATCATCTGATTAATATTCAATTATCCATGTGAGCAAAATT